TTTTTTTGCCATCACTACTCTGGACCCGGCAGCTTATCGACATACCTTGAACGACATTCACAGAGAGGCAGTCTCGAGTTATGTAGACTCCCGACCTGTGAATGCCGTTCTGGCTACACAACCACCAGACGTGGATGATACAAAACTTCGTCTGCCTCGGCAGACTCGGACCACAATAGCCCAACTGCGGTCTGGTTACTGCAGCAGGTTGAACTCATACCTGAGCAGATTAACCGAAGATATTCCAAACGAATGTCCGGCATGCGGAGAGTCGCTCCATGACTCACAGCATCTCTTCGTATGCCCCCTTAACCCCACCACGCTAACTCCCCTTTCCAAATGGACAGACCCCGTCGAGGCTGCACGCTTCCTAGGGCTGCCGTTAGTGGAGCTTGACGACAACGTTTAAGGAACTAACCGATCTGGGCGGCGTCGTTGTAGCCGCTACAACAACAACAACATTATTTACCACGCCGAATCATGATATTCGTTTTACATTTCCGGCTTGAAATTTAGTCTTATAAAATCTCGTATTTGTGGTCCATCTTTTGATAATCGGTTGTTGTCATTGTCCAGGCTTTTGCGCCATATACCAGCACGGGCATGATATAGAGTGTGGTTTTCGTACGTCGACAGATCACTTTACTCCTGAATTGCCTACTCAGTCGCAGGTAGCACTGCTTGGCAAGAGTGATTCTGCGTTGGATTTCCATGCTGACATTATTACCGTTGTTAATGCTGGTTCCCAAGTAAGCGAAATTCTTTACTTTCTCAAAAGTATAACTGCCAACAGTGACGTTGGTTTTTTTTTTTTGTTTATGGGGTGACGCCCCACAGTGCTGTGTCTCCATATAAAAAGTGGGCAAAAATATAATAATGGACGGATTTGAGTAAAAATTCGTTTCTTGGTGGATTAGAGTACGGAGATTTCAAAAATCAATTTTTTTACCTAGCTCTTACATTTTTCATGGAAACTGAGATTGAAACTGCAAAATTTGATATTCAGAAGTAGTTCCAATACTGAGTAGTTATTTTATTATTTACACAGGGCGTTTTCCTAATAATATTAAAGACTTCAAGGCTTCATTCTATGGCTTAATTCATGGCAAAAAAGATTCCCTATATCTCTCTTACGCAAACCCTCTAGGAATGGCAGCTACTTTCATTTTGGTCCTTTTTGACTACAAAATGTTTTTTTAAATTGATTATATCTTTTGGTGTGGATGTCACACGCTTAAAAAATTTGATTCATTCAAGACGACATTAAATACTCAAAAGACAAATATAATTTTGTTTTCCTTTTTATTAGTTACTTCGCACGAACAAGAGTTGTTGCAAAATACTGAATCAAAAATTATTTGTTTTATCTAACGCCGTTTATTGAAAAATAAAGTCATCCTGCAGTCAAATTCCAAACTACTCAGCAAACACACTAGTTCATTGACTATATATTTTGTGGTGTATTCATACATGAATTGTGGTGTATTCATACATGAATTTTGTGGTGTATTCATACATGAATTCATTCATGAATTTCGGGTTGAAATCATACTAGTCAGAAAAAGTGTAATCTATACTAGAAATCATACTAATCAGAAAAATCCCATCCCATAGTATACCAACTGGAATGAATGTCAAATTCGTGGACTAGTATGACAAGTGGTAGGATCTTGACGTGCATACTGACTAGTATGTTCTGGCCATAGACTGAGTAGTATATCAACTGCTATGATTCTGATGTATATAATGACTAGTATGCCAACAGGTACGATCATGACGTATATACGAACTAGTATCTTAAATGGTATGATATTGATGTATATATTGACTAGTATGTCAACTGATATATTGCTGATGCAGAGGCTGACTAGTATGCCAACTGCTATAGTGCTGATGCAGAAGAGGACAATTGCCATCTCGTAGGACATCGCCGTGTTAAAAATACCAGTTGCTTAAATTACAGAACTCAAGATAGTTGAGGCCGTGTGGCTGACTAGTATTTGATTAGTATAAAACTAATTGAGTTGACTGAAGGGTACTTATTACTTTTAAGTTTCTTCAGCATCGACTAAATACTCTTCCAGCTCGTCCATTGTATAAACTGCATTTTTGTTTGGGATAGCACTCCTTTTAAAAACTACTTCAGGATCTGATGATATTGTTAAGTATGACATCAAGTCTCTGTTTGTATGCTCCCGAGCAGTTTTACGTGTATGATCATATCGTACGATACGTATGTGTTTATGTAAAGCTTCCAGAGCTTCCTCTGAAAAATTGCCTGTGGGAATAAATTCGTAGTAGTAAAAAATGCCGAATAGCGACAAATCGATTTTCTTACCAATTGGTAGATCGAAATACTCAATAACCTCACACCCATGCATCAATATTTTATGCACGCTGCTAGGCATGTAGTACCATTCGTATTCAGTCAAATACATTGTTCTTGTCCTTATAAGGAGCTCTCTAAACGCGTCGATATTAATACGCATTCCACACGATATTATTCGCAGTATTATTGAAAAATTTTGAATTAGCTCTTTATTAATGCCGGTAATTTCTGATGCTACTTCTGCATTTGAAAAAAATTTGCGAGCTGTGTTGCCATCATTAGTTGTTCCAAATCCAGTCTTTACTTGGTCCACTATTAAGCCTAATCTTGCCCTAAACTCATTTTGAATCCTAACTTTATTCGCAGAAAAGGCGTCTTTGTTTTCTTTGCGAACTTGCCAGCATTTAAATGTTAAACGGTATGCGATGTGGAGTAAACACTCAAAACATCTAATCCAAGCATGCAGTGTAGACAACCCATACTTGTAATGATTAGCGATTGGTACTTTTGTAAAATTAGTAACATTCATTTCGGTCGGTTTGGCATGGCAAATAAAACAGTTACTGGAAGCATTAGTGCCAGTCAAAATATTGGCAACAGATCCATCAATCATGGTGCAATGCATTTGATAAGAAACTTGAATCCCTTTTCCGTTTCGTATTACAACATCATCTTCTAAGTTCTCAATTTTTCTCGACATATCATTATATTCGAATAGAACTAGTTCGCGGTTTTCCTTCTTGAAACTAAACTTAATTGGACGACAATAAAAAGACGATGAGCATTTGTTATTGGTCCATATATTTTTGTTGGATGACAAATCAATTAACCTGGAAAAAATATTTATTTTTTAATAACTTATATGGCTTGTCGAAAAGATATAAGACCGTCATATCGCAAAATAGCTAATCGAGTAAATTAATTAATTTCGACCAGCCTTTTGCAAAATAGTACTGTAAAAAGTTGTCAATGTAAATTAAAATGCCATTTACTGATCTAAACTCGAATTTATTTTTAAAGGCTATTGAATGTTTTTGGAAGACATATTAGATAAAAAGTTGTCAATGTAAATTAAAATGCCATTTACTGATCTAAACTCGAATTTATTTTTAAAGGCTATTGAATGTTTTTGGAAGACATATTAGATAATTTTTTGTTACCTCAGAGGGACTAGCGCAATGATGAACATAAACTCATCCGTTAATTTGTCGTCACCAAAATTTTGATTATAACGGCTATGCCCCGAACTTCCATCCATGCCCCACTTACAACCCAAAGAAGCTTTGGTTATGTCCCCATTATCTGGGCTTAGTTCTAAAATACTTTGCGTTGTTTTCAGCAAAAATGATTTCAGATCAACTTCGGCTGAATATTCAGTCGATTTAATCGTTGGCAGCAAAGTTTGTTTTTTTGTTTGCAATGCGTTTAAGCTCGGTATACAATCTTTATGCAACCGGTTTATTTTTGCACGTAAACTATTATATTTACGATCTGATAAGTTCAGATCTATGTATAGTGCGAGTGAATTAGATATGGGCAAACCTTCGGTACTACTTTCAAAACATTCAACTTTGCTTGCTTTTTTCATTTTTTTTTCAGAGCATACTCGAGCTCTTCGATGGAATAGTTTTTCAATAAATGCTCTACCCTTCGATTTTTTTGTTCTCCGTGAAGCTTCGCAAAATTCTTCTTTAGAAGGTCTTCCCCGTTCAGCACATTTATCCTTATTTCCATTGGAATCCGGAAGGGAAAGGAATGTCCAATTTAGCCATTTAGAATATGTTTTTTCAAAAGCGCTTCTTTTGCGGCCACTATAATTCCACTTATTTTTCATCTCACTATTAAAAAGTTTTATTTTTTGATTCAAAAGTGCTTTGTCGCATTTA